ACCTTCGTGCAGCATCGTTTTGGCATCGTGCAAACTGCAGCTGTTCACATTCACATGCAAACAATTGTGCATCTGTGCAAGATGTTGTGCTGTATTGTGCAAACCTTCGTGCACGTTCATTCGGATGTTCCTTCGAAGAACTTAGTTGGGTTTTCCAAAAAAAATATTCAAACCACTACAAAAAAACGAACATTGCAAAAAATGCTGAAAAAATTCAAAAAAATAATGGCAAGTGGATTTGTGGGCTTTAAATCGGCCATTTAGATTTTTGCGGGTTCTAGATTTTCTGTTTAAGAATGATCAATAATAATTCAGCAGGTATAAAAAAGACGAGAAAAACGTTCAAAAAAATGTTGAAATGCATTGCCACCTCATCCCAATCCACATCTCATCTCATTTCGAAATTGGCAAGCTGTTCCTACACTTCCATATTATCCTTTCCGGTTTTGGTGGCGGGTTCAGAGCTTCAAATACGCGTTGAAGTTGGCTTCAAAATACGAGGCGTAGAAGCCAGTTTGAAGTTGGCTTTAATGAGACTTCAAATACGATTCCCCAATATTGGAACGGGATTTGAAGCCAAGAATACAAAAAACAAAATGGAAGAGCAATTATAAAAGTTGTGCTGGCTTCAACCGGTAGACTGCTCTAAGTCGCCACTTTCCGACGCCGGATAAGGAGGTTTTGCAAGGGTTTTGGGGCCTGGGGTGCTCACAACCCACCACTGTCTGACCGAATAGACGGGTTTTGCGATGTGGTGCGCCTTGGAACCCACCAGTCTCGATTCTGATGAAGAGTTTTGCGGATGCGGTGTGCGCCCCTGAATCCACCAGTTTTCGGTCCTGTTTTGCGATGGTGTCGGTGTGCCAGGTGTGCCCCAAATCCCACCGGATAAGAGGGTTTTGCGATGCGGTGCGTCCGGAATCCACTCAACTCCGAGAAGAGACGTGGTGTTGAGAGACATGTTGGAAAGAGCTGCCAGCACGTCTGTTTTCTGCTGAATCAGAGCGGAAATAACATTTTAGGGGGCATTACCTACCTTACTCTCGAATTCTATTCAGAGGTTTTCATGCACGCGAATCATCGCACGTTTCGAACACGGGTCGCATGTCTTGTTCTGGTTGTTTTGTAAGTGCAACAGCCTTGTGATTATGACGTGCTTGGAAAACACGTCTTTCCGTTTCCGTTTTCGCACAGAAGTCTCTTCACGATGATGCCGACAAAGCGTGTCTGGTGATTCCAGAAAGAACGCATCCGATTCTGATCAGGAACGAACTGGCATGTTTAAAATCGTATTGTCACATAACCTCGAAGTTCTTATTGGCTCAAAAAAAATTTTTTCTGCTGGACCCCAGCATGCGAATGTAGCAGTTGATGTTCGGTTTATTGTTCAGAGTCCCTGGAGGACCCTCTGTCAGTCATCAGCGGCCTTTCTTAGTCGGACAGCAGAGCACGGTTGGTGAACCAGCAAAATCGTCATGCAATGGGCAGCCACGATCAGTGCTACATCCTGAGCGGGTCCAAACGCTGGATTCGGACCAATGTTGGCGGCGCTTTGCAAGCGCGCCCTAGCAGTGCTTGTTCTTGCTTGTCATGTCGTCCATCCGTGTCATTTGTTCCGAACACAACAAGACGTGGTAGCAGCTTTCGCCACCTCGTTAAGGTTCTACTTTCGCATCTCCACCCAAAGTTGCCGGTTAAGCTATGTTGTGAGTCACACATTTTCCTGAATCAGTTTTCGGGTCTTTTCATGATTCATGTGCAAGAAAAACGTTTCGAGGAACAACTGCATGTTGTCTCGTGTAATTATTCGGCCTCGCGGAAGCCTGGGAGCGGCGATGATGGGAGCTTGTGGGCCATTTTTATTTTCCATCTCGTATAACCTCCTCTTCTCCTTCTTGCCAATTTTGAAGGGCACTTTGGACTGCTATTCGTACCTTGCGGTGGCAGTTTGCCTGCAGCAGAGACTCTAAGTCTTGTATGGACACACATTTGTTGAATATTCCGTAAATTTTACATGACGTGTGAGATCTCCGGGCAGCAACACATGACTCTAGCTGAACCCGTGTACGTTTCGGCAAACCGATTACAATCATGTTAATGTTCATTTTCTGTGCCTCAATGTGGTTTTGGTGAAGCAATGTGTGCCAGCCTCAGTTTTTTGGAATTCATTCCATGGTTGCTGTTTTAACTTCTGTCATTTGTACCACACCGTAGTCGCTTGCCGAGGCGCATTCTATCAGGCGTTGGGTGTGCCACGATCCGCATCCAAAGAAACCATTCGTTTGGCGTGCGCTTGGGGTTTCTGTCCAACACACACTAGGTTGTTGCGTCATGGCTTGTACACGGAACTTCCACTTTCCAGGTACTTACGGCTGGCGAAGCAGCTGCATCCAGATGTCAATAAGGCCACATAAATTACGCGAGCCGCATGCGTTTGTGCATTCCCGTATTGTCCAACTGGATCCTATTTCCATGTCGGTGGGCTTTCTGCATTTGTGCGTATTTTTCCCAGATGCAAGGCAGCTGGGGCTGAGCAGAGCTTCCAAAAGGTTCGGGATGCCTACGAGGTGGGCAGTACCATGTGTGACGCCACATTTTCTCCGCATCACGGTTTCGTCCTAGTGGGAGGTTCTATCCAACGACGATAAGCGTCGTGAGTACGATCGTCAGATAGCTCCCCCTGATCGTGGGCCGAGCCTTGGTTGCCAGAGCCAAGACCTCACAATTTTCAGGAAACCTACGTCGCAGAAGTCAGAGGTGATTGGTGGTGGATGCAGTTTCCCACCAGGAGATTTATTCTCATCAGTAAGGCGATCGGGACCCGACCCTCGGGCTACGTGGATGTACCGCAGCCGAACAGGGCAGCCTGGAGGCCCGGAAGCTTCAGGGATGTGACTCTTGATGACATCCATGTCTGTCCAATCTTACTCACAGGAACAATGAGCGGCAAGCCCTTTGGCTTTACGGACGAGGCATTGAGTCAACGGTGAAACGTTCCGGTGCTCTCGTCTCTCGTCAACGGATGTGTGAGTCTAAGCTTCTCGGACAGTGCAGGCAGCATGGAGAGCTCGACAAGAGTATGAGGAGACAGTCTGTCGGCATCCTCTTGTGCACGGATTAACAGACTTGCCGCTAGTTTCATCGGCGGTGCAGGAAATGCGGAGACGTGCAGAAGAAGCGCAATTTTATGCAGAGCTTCTTTTCAGCAGTTCTTAGAGGACCTCGTGGAGTTGAGAGGAGCACGTTTGCTGAGGTTCAACCAGTATCGTTACCGACAGAGTGCTTTGACGGCATCTGAGTCAAGTCGGCCATTGACAGAGTGCTGCGGCTGTGCTCTCTCGGCCATGCTGTCTCCATGTGCGCACATACAGTCACATACACACAACTTGGTAGGGTTCGCTCATCTTGTGATATCGAAGATTTTGACAGGACTTCCTCTAGTGTTTGTTGGCTCGCTTACGGACCCATGTCCTGGGTCTCTGCCCTATGCCCTGGCGTGGTCACCGAGGTCTTTTCGAATCACTTCTAAGATTTGTGCCACTTGTGGTGCCATTGTGGTTTGCAGGGTCCTCATCCCCGCAAGAGCTCGAAGTCTTCGTGGCATCGAGAAATGTTGTCGTTTCACCTAGGTCGCCATGCTTTTTGGCCTTTACCGGCGGAGTCGTTCAGTGGATCAAGGAAATCCAGCCACTAGTTCGTATTAAGGTTGGGCAGCTATGTTTGCAATTTTCTCAGGTTGCTGCATGAGTTGCGCCCCTTGTGCTGTGTGTTTCCCGAGGCGGAGATGCTGTATTGGGATGAATTTGATCGAGCTTGGGCTCGAGATGCTTATGGAAGGCTTCCGAGTGTGGCTGCAGACCGTGCTGGCAGCTTCGCGGTTACTGCGCTGCCAGGATTCATCGCTTGCCAGACCTGGACAAGCAGCGCTAGCAGTGCGCTGGCACGCAACGGAGTGGAGGATAAAGTCTGAACGTGGCGCACGCATGCAAAAGTTGGCAAGTGGAAGCTTCCGAACTTTTCCTCCAGTTCTACCCTTCCGTGCACGCCGGGTTGGTCTGCGAAGCAGAAGCTGACCTCTGCAGGAGTGCCATGCAGACATGACACTTGAAAAGAATTTTCCTTAGCTCTCATGCCGGTGAATGCATCGGTTGCAGATGCTCTTCGTGTTGGCTTCGGCAGGGTTCCGGCGAAGTACAGTGTGCAGCCTTAAGCCCAGCGGACAGAGCGAGGCTCTCGTGGCTTCCTAGTACCGCAAAAGATTAAGTGACGTGGAGGGATCGTGTTTGTGAGACTTGGTCGCAGGATGAGTTTTGCTTCTGATTGAAGTCACGATACTAGGTCTCCAATTGACTACCTCAACAGGATCTTCGTCTGATGTGATTCAGGCAAATGTCGTGGCTTATCATGGACATACTAAGTGCAACAGTCATGGCCAGCACGGCAAGTGTGGGATGAATGCGTAACACACGCAAGGCCATTAGGAAAGATTACTCCGAGTTTCAGCGTCAGTACCTGCAGCTCCTGCCGCAATGTCAGTTCAGGCCTTACTCGGCAGAGACTGGGAAGCACGGTTTTTTGCTCGATGTGCATCCTTTCGAGGATGTGGAACAGAAAGACATCGAGGTGCACCCATGCTGTCATAGCTGTAGTGAGCTGCGGTGGCTCTGGCTTTTTCCTATTTTGTTTGGCTCGGCTTCAGCGAGATCGGAGCAGGTGGCTCGAGAAGATCAGCAGAGAATAAACCGCTTCAGCAGACTGACGCCCGGTCGCATTGGGGTGTGGTCGTCCCAGACAGTACGAGTTCTTGTCTGTTTCTCCTGTTATGCCTGGTGCGACAGCACACACATGTGTTGACGAGGAATCTTCGGATCCTCGGATGCATTAAAAGCTCCGTGCCAGTGACTGCGAGAGTAAGAGGGAACCCTTGGCTCCTCGGCCCCTCGCCGCTAGCACAAGCAGGGCCCGGCAGGTATGATGATTTGGACGAGGAGATCGCCAAGATGAAAAAGGATGTCCAGACGTACAAGGCACGCTCAGCTTCAAGAGACTGATGCGTGGGCTCCCACGGTGCAAACCCCACACTTAGTTTGCTGTTTAATTCGTCTGCGCATTTACAGAAGCTTGACAGACTGTAGCAGGAAGCTTAAACAAGGCTGAAGTCCGTCAAAGCCCGGAAAAAATGCTGTCAGGATGCAACGGAGGAGATCGAAGGCCCGGTGTTTGTATGAGTTCAAAGCTTGAGTGCGGACCAGAACATGCGTTTCATGGCGCTTGTGCGTTGGAGCACCGCTTCTCTCAGAACGATTGCATTGTCCACGCTCGCGCAGTCTGAATGCAACCTGGCGGATGTAGAGCGTTGTTTGCTGACTGTACGAGTCGGTCAGGCTGCATGGAAGACAGCGGGATCATGGTGAAGCTTGGCGAGGTTTTTACTCCCGTTGATGAGGCCTGGCAAATCCTGACAATTAAGTTAGTGAGCGGCATACCTGTGATGCTGGGGGTTTTTCAGTAAAGAGAGAAAGGAGGCTACAGTAAGTGAAAGGATTCTGTGCTGGAGAAGCTTGCGAACCTCATCGAGAAGTCTGAGGCCGGAATTTGCCGGATCCTGTGTTGAACTGTTGAAACACTTTCTTTCTGTGGTTTGGTGTAGGCTGCGTTGTCCCAAAAGTCGGACGAGATCGAGACTGTGCGTGGTGAGCTGGACTCTCTGAAGAAGGCCCTCAATTTCACATGTGCTTTGAAAGTTGTTAACTGGAGCTGGACGGGCTTCCCGACGCGGGGCTGGGGTTGTTTGGCGAAGCTTTGTGCATTGATCTCGTTTATCTCCGACTTCTGTGTGCTGCTTCGTTAGTGTTCCAGCTGTGCTGTCGCTGTGTTCATGTGGAGGTGCTTTATTCCAAATTCGGGACCAGCATCAACCTGGAAAAGTGAGGCACACACCGGTCTAGTCCCGACGGTTCAGACAGTCCCGGCCAATACTCGGGCACCGAAAGTTGTGCACGGAGTTGCTGGTACACGCATGGGACTATGCAGGAAGTCGCGTGCCCAAGGTGGTAAAGACCCTGTGGCCCACAGCTATCCGGCAGCTACCCGTTGCCTGAAGCAGCTGCGGGTATAGCTCAGTGGTAGTTATGTGCTCTTGAAGCGAGCTGACTTCTGAACGGAGTTCTTTGCATGGAAAGGAAAAACTCTGCTTGCACTTCCGCTGCCTCGTGGCACTGTGCTCTGCATGGAGTTCTGCAGACAGGGAGGAGGGAGGAATTCAATTTACGTTCGTGCGACATAGAGCACTGACAGGAGAACGCGAAGACGTTGATTCTGGTCCTCAGCAAGTCTTCACCCAAGCTCTCGTGCTTTCACATGACATGACCTGGACTTTTCGTGATCGAGTCTTGATGAGAGCCTCTTGAAAGCACTGGATTCTCTCACGTTCACACGGCACTCAGAAGATGTTGCTAGCGCCATGAGACTGAACGCGCTTCTGGGCCTCGGGGGCCTTGGGTGTGCTTCCCAGGATTTGCTTTTGACATGTTCTGGTGTCGCGACTTGCGACACTCTGTGTCCAGGGGGCGGAAGAGCGAGAAGCCGCCGGAGGCAAAGCGCCACAAGCGCCTTGCATCAGGCTCAGTGCCACCTTGCCTTCCTGCAAGCGGCACTTTGAATCAGAATCTATCAGCCCCGTCTGGGAGGATAGAGTCTTCAGAAGAACTAGCTGCTGCCAAGGACGTGCTGGAATCCCTGGGAATCGACCAGAACGTTCTCGCCCCGGTTCTCGCATGCCCTGTGCATGAAGTGACTTCCCTCGCGTCTGAGGCACGTGGGCACCCAGCAACCCCGAGTGAGGAGCTTGGTCCGACTCACTGGCTGCAGAGTCTTGTGCAATTCTGTCCGTCACGCAGGTCATGTTGGCAGATCTGCTAGTGTGTACTGGTTCTTTTGTTCTATAAGGAGACGCTTATCCAGTCATGCTCTCGAGCATAAATTCTGACTCTGCACCTCTGCGTTTTGTGGTTAGTAGTGCCTTTCATGGGCTGAGCTTGCGTGGTCCCAAACAAGTCCAGAAATAAAGGTGTGTCCATGTGCAGCCAGAACCGGGCCGAATCCAAGGCGTTTCGACCGCATGCCGTCGGAGTGTCATTTCAC